GAAAGGTCTGATGGCTTTCGGCTACAGCACTTGAACAGTTTTACTCTGCCACATTGCACAGCTAATCTGGTGCTGATTCCCTGAACTCTATCACACCCTGCCATTGCTCTCTCTCGAAGGCCCTCCAGACAGCCGTCCATCAACCTCTTGGCATGCTGGGACAACACAAGGGAGACACGCTGGCTCCTTTTGAGGTGACTGTACTCGGAATTGGCAATAAAGGCAGTGCTGTGGGCCATTTGCGATGCAGTTTAGTAGTGTGTTATATGCGAATCACCTATCGGTGTTAAGCACATATTTGCTTTAAGCTGTTCTAGATACAAAATACTTGTTGCACAAAAACAAAGCAACAAGATAAAATTGAATATACTGTGTCCCAAAAAATATTTGGACACTTAAGCGACATTTAAAAATGCCATTGAATTAGATTTTGCAACAAAATACCAAACCAAGTGTCTTTAGACGTTCAAAATTAAGGCATTTGGACACAGGCTAATTTTTTTTTAATATTTTATTAGTTTTATTGGTCCCATTGGTCCCTGTGTGTGAACTTGAGGAGAAATGACTTCAAATTGCTGTTGCACCAGTATGTATAAAAGCTCTTGTTTACAGATACCACTGGTTGCAATTGCAATGACATTCAGACATTTTAAGTGTCACTTGAGAATCCAAATGCCTTTTTGGGATCACTGTTTACACACACACACATTGTCGTAGCCCAAAGGCACCTCTGTGTTGTGTGGCCTGGTGACAGCTGTTGGATCCAGGGAGCGGGTGTGCTAAGCTGAACAATGAGTTGAGACATGGATGTATTGCACCTAACAAGCTAACTTTCCAGCACTGGCCAGAGGGCATGGCACAGGCCAATGGACAATGTGTATGCATGCGCATGGCAACCAGGCATTAACACGCCATAAACACTCTGTAAACGAGGTACGGAGAGAGCAAGGTCAACACAGAGGACTGACCTCCTCCATTTTAATGAGCTTGTCCATGAAGAACAGCATGTATACCGAGGCAAACAGCACACTCGATGTCCTGTTGCATTGGGATTATGGTAGTGAAAACAACTAGTATGCTAACTACTGCACAGTCAAAAAGAACTGAGATGCTTTAAAAAAAAAAACATCTGTGAAAAAGACAAGTACAGCTTTAAATATAGATCATTAGAGGACGTTTTACAAGAAAATACTTTAAAATGTAGGCTATTACTTGCTAAATGAAAATGTTTCTATACCAATTTTTGTAGTGCATGAATTTACATGATATTGGTTTATGTATTGTCCGGGTTTACAAACATAGCCATGGTGTTCACCAGCAAACATTTTTCAAACAGTCATTTTGGTGAAGCGAGTTGTCCATGGGAGATTAAAGCCCAGTGGAAACACTTATCATTTCTAAACAAGAAGACCTTCAAACTAGTGCACCTGTGCATTTGTGCTTTTTAGACATTTTTAGACAATTTATGGTTTTGGTCAACAAGTGGTGTTTATCCAGACCTTTCCAAAGGTTTTGCATTGGCTGGAGACTACACTGAAATTGGATGCCATCGTAATTACTTTTCCATTCCTCATGTCCTCTTCAATCTCTAAAAGCTTCTCTGACTATAGCGAACAGAGCTCCTTATAAGGAAGAGAACTTTGGGATGTTTTTATCTCAAAATAGAACTCAAACAATAAAAAAAAAAAGCTAAAATATGCAAGAAAGTTCCCAGAGACCCCTGAGGATGCTCTTAAACCATAGGTTGAAGATGTTTATAGTCTATTATGATCTCACAAACAATCGTCTCAATAAAACTGGTCATTTCGAACACATGCTGTTCTGGCAGCAACATCAAGAGAATATCTGTATTAATCCACCAACTGGAATCTCCGGTGAGACTGAGAGCTGCTGGATACGGTTACAGAGTAAATTCCACGAGGGCTAAACAGTTCAGAGTAGAGAACACATTGAAATGCAAGAAAAACGATATATTAAGACATATTTTGTGCAATTAAATGGCAGTTTATTTGCACGCAACTGGGAAACTGTGTGCTGTGAACCTATGCGCATGCAGAAGGAGTAAGATATGTCGACACTAGGGCTGCACGTTTTCAAGTTTTTCATTAACCGTTAACCGAGGCCCTTATCGGTTAATACTCGGTTAACCATGTGCGCGCCGCAACCTCGAGATACAGAGTTAATTTTTAACACCTTTAATAACTGGTTGGACCCCATTTGAAACGAAATTAATTTATAGAAATAAAACGCAGTTGTAAGTTCAGAGCAGTTAAAGTAGGCGCGTTTCCATCACCCTTCAAAATGACAGCACATTGACAACACGTCAATTTCGCAAAAACTACGTATCAGCAAATAATAATAATAATAATCATCATTATTGTAACATTTTATTAGGCTGCATATGTAGAAGACGCTTTTATCCAAAAAAGGAACAAAGCACAAATAAACACAATATTTTGACGCATTTCCAGTGTGTGCTTTGTGGAGGCTGCGAGACGCCCATGTGAACACTTGCAGTTTCATTGCAGTTCTTTCAGTGGAAACAACTTAAAATACTCTTTCATTTCTGGTCATACAGAAAATAATAATACATTATTCGCAAATACATTTATTTGCGTAAACTCACAATAACAAGAAAACGTTGTGCTTTAACAAACAGGCGCGCTTCATGATCTCCGTGAACTGGAGCGCGAGAACTGAAACTGAATTTAAAGCTTTAAATGTCCAATTTAAAACGAACAAATTCGAATCGAAAGCCAATATCTTCTGACTATGTAATTATGTAGTCAGCTAATTATTTCTCTCTAAAGGTGCATCCGGGGATGGAGATTTGTTTTTAGCAGAAACTGATTTAGAAAACAAATTTATTAATAAACTATTAATGCCTCGTTATGTTATATTATTTTATTATCAGACACATTTATTATGTCTTATAAATCATCTAAATCCCCTTTCTGTAGGCTGTGGTTACGGCTCTTCTCATCCAGCACTGCGGGGAAAATCATTTCCAGGTTCTAATCTGGCCTCAGAAAACCAGTAAAATCTTTTTTTTTCCATATTCATTTGTCAAATATTTTAAATGTTTAAAGGGGCAAAAAATCAAACAAATATCAAAAAATAAAATATAAATATCATATCATAAAATATCAAGACCGCGGAGCAGAAACTCTGTGACTGTCCCTGCCATTAATGCTTGGATGACACGCACGTCTCCTTTTATAAATAATAATAATGTTTAGTGCGGTGGCTGTGATAGACTACCAACGTCCGTTGCCATTATTGTTGGAATGGATTATGTTTGGCTTATGGCTTATGTAAAAATGTTTTAGTCGCATAAGGGCCGGTTCACATATCGCGTCTTTTGCGCGCTCAAGTTCGTTATTTCAAATATAGGCGCGCGGTATGCGCGCTCATAATGGAAGCGACGCGGTCGCGGTGCGACACGCTCGTTTTTTCCAGGCGCGTCCGCGCCGCATCGAGATAAAAACATCTCAACTTTTCAGAATGCCGCAAGCGCACCGTAGGTCACGTGACACGAACCAATCAGCTTCCTCGCCATTTTTGTTACCTCTTCTTAAAATATAATCAAACTGGTCCTTGTCCACTCTGAAATAGGCTTTGAACCTCCCATTGTCCAGGCGGAGTTCCTGGATCAGCTGGTGAAATTCCCCATGGTTCTTGCGTTTTTGTAGTATGGGGTGCACCCAAACACTGCGGCGTTTTTTTTAACTTTTCTGAATAAATAAATCTTGTAACAGAGTTACAGCAAGGGTTTTTCGGTGGTGGAAATCCATTGCTGAAATTTCCTTCATGTAATGGAGAGCGCAGCTGATGGTTGCTTAGCAACGACAGACGCCTCCGGAGTGCAACCGCCCTACCGCTTCTTTGGAAAAAGGAGAACGCGTGCGCCGCGCGATATGTGAACGGCCCCTAACACAGTTAATAGAAACGCTGTCATTTCACAATATTTTTTTATCGACAATCAGAAAGAAAAAAAACGCAAAAGTTTTGTGCAAATATGTATTGACGCCACTTAAAAAAGGTTTCACTCGGTTATCCAATTTTAAACGGTTAATCGGTTAACCATGGACACCCCTAGTCGACACCTTATCGAAGTGCACAATTCTTGTCATTTGACGATAAATTTAGGCACTGCTCCGTTATACACAGCTAACTGTGTTTGAGAGATGCACATGAGAAAAGCGAGCAAAGAGAAGAAGCGCTGGGCAGACAGAACAGCTGTATATAGGCTGTTATATATTGTACCCAAATAATACATTAGTTATTGAATTGGCTGATCAATCACACCTTTTAATCGATCCGAAATTTCAATCTGATTGAAAGGGAACTGAACTGAAAGCACTGCGCATATGTGCAATGATGTACGGAACGAGCACCAGCCGGCCCTGAATTGTCAAAAAACCTCTCGAAATGCAGGCTGTGGATGCGAAAAACGCAGAAAATCGAACTAGATCCAAATTTTTTTATGACGGACGAAAGTTTATATTTCTATTACATTTATTTTAGACCTGAATGAATTTGCTTTACTTTAATTTTGCCAGCAATGTAAAGTTTCACCAGCAAAAAAATTAAATAAAATAATAATACTCATACTACATAGTAACACATAAATTCAATAAATGATTTTTTTTATACATGGAAGCATTTTCTATATAATATTGGCTGCAATGCACAATCTGATCTGAAAACCAAAACAAAAAACACACCAGTAATAATAATATAATAAAATTGAATAAAAAATAGATAATGATAATAATACTAATACTCTTTCATCTAATAGTGACACTGACTCTGCAACCAAATGCAGGACATATTAAGACTATCCATTACAACCTAATTTTGGTACGCTGTATTTATGTGAGGATAAAAGCTAGTAAAAAGCTCCCCCCCACCCCCCAAAAAAAGAATGAGATAGCTCAGACCCCTCCTACGCATCTCTATACTCCACTCTCCTCCTATACTCCACCCCTTCACTTTTTCTTCCATAAACTTTCCAACTTCACATTGTTGCCACAGACCATCCTTTCCTCTAAAAGAAAACCAGAGCAACGGGATTGAACCCCAATACTGTTCATCTACAGATTTAGGTAGGTAACCTTTTCTTGTGAATCTTGCACATCAGTTTAAGGAGCACAATAGTCATCTAACAGTCCACAATCAGTTTATCTAGATTTTGTCTTTGACTGTTATCACATCTGGCTATTGTGTATCACTGTTTCACCAATTGCATCCAAATTCTTTTACATTGCAAAAAAAAATAGAAACACATCTAATTTGGGTCAAGCGAATCCAAAACCAGCTTAAATTCGCAGTGCTTTCTTAAGATTGATTTGTTGACAAGGTAATCTTAAAAACTTAATTTGTTCAAATCATCATAGAAAGGTCTTGAACAGCGACATGCAATTTTCACAAGTAAGAGTACAGAAAATATCCAAGCTATTATGATAAATAATTGGAGGGTTACTCATCAGTTTTATATTCTTACACAGCAGTGGCTGATGTTTCAGAGATTCACCAGAGTTTTGTCTGCTGGTCTTTGTACGGCTCTGTGCGCTCACCATAAACAGCGAGCCAGACACATTCTTCTCCGAACACAAATCGGGGAAATGTGACTTAGACTGACTCTGACCTACACACAACACCCCAGATCTGCACTCTACAGGGAGATCTGACAACCCTTCATTTCAGCACAAATGAGCTCGCTGCATTCACCGCGGCCCTGCAGAGTAGGAAAGGTTAACTGCATACAGAAGCCTGTTAAAGCAGGAATCACACACACATTTGTGGTCTCTGCATTTGTGGAAATATTCAAGCAATAAAGATATTTGTAGCATTTAATTTATTACACCTCAAACACATTTTCACCTTGATGATTATGTATAATTACATTTTTTAAAAACATTTATTCTATACATTTATTTCAATTATATGAAATATAAAATACATTTTAATATTTCACCAAACATTATAAAAATATTTTGGTAACACTTCACAATAAGGTTTTATTTAATGCAAGTCAATGTATTAACTAATAGTAACTGACAATGAACAGTACATTTTCTACAGTATTTTTTAATAAGTAAATGTTGAAATTAGCATTAAATAAGATTATTAAACGCATTAGAAGTAGGTATTTTTCCATCATTAGTTCATGTTAATTAATGTAAACAAATGGAACCTTCTTGACAAGTTTTATAGGCCTATATTTTTTATATAATTTATGTTAGAATTGTATAAAATGTGTGTGTGTGTGTGTGTGTATGTATACATATATATGGCACAATAGATTTTTAATTATTTATAATTTAAATATAGCATTAAAATAGCATTAAATATAGCATTATTTATAATTTAAATATAGCATTAAGCATGTAAATCTGACTTTTTAGTGAGGTTTTATTGCAGTATTCTTAGTATAATTTAGTTGGACTGATGGTTGAAATGGAGAATGGATGAATTAATTAATAGATAGTTGTATTTGAGTGACTAATTATTACATTTTATATTGTATATTTTGTATTGTAATTCACCTGCTCGGGGACTGCAGATGGAAACTAGCTTAAATCTAAATCTGGTGCAAAGCATCTTTAATTAAATTTTTTTTGCACATTGTTCCTGTTGAAATAAATAAATAAATGAAATTATATATAAAACTGCTATGTTATATATATTTCAAGCAATTTCTGGACAGATGTTGTGACTTAAACATCTGTGCATTGAATGCTATCTATATAGTGCAGTACATACATGATAATTCAAACAGTAGTTTCAGATGTTTCATTATTTTAAATAATTTTTTATTATGAATGACTTTAATTAAACTGTATAAAATTATATCAATACTGTATCAGAAAGATCTAAAGATTTAAAGAAATATAGTGGCAAAAAAAAACAATTAAATATCAATAACTGTATAGGCACAATCCATAGTGTGCATGGCCAAAAATGTCTGTCCTAATGCCAGTTCAACAGGCACTGTCCTACCTGTTTAGAGTCATGTCCTCAGAGGCATCACCAATCCACTAAAAATCCCTCAACATTGCTCTGCGATGCCATCATGGAAAGATCAGCATCGAGGCCAACTGAGTGCACTCGCTTGGCCTTAAGTGGACTTATTTGTGCAAGGAAGTTACCATGCAGGAGAGAGTAAAAAATATGCACATAAACATACTCAGGCTTGGGAAATCTCTGGGCCAGTATTTCAGACCATATCCTTTTTTGGTGCGATTCTATCCTATTTTTTGCTCCACTTGTTTTCTCTTTTCCACAACTTTCTTGGCAGTGTCTGTGCATTTTAATGCTGATGAGTTGGCTTTTTGTTGCCAAAGGATGGCTTGAGAGAGTTGATACAAATCTGCTCTGAATAACCATATGAGGAAGGGTATCTTAAGCATACGACCTGCTCGATACCCTCCCAAGGAGATTGTTAATGATCTTATCAATCCCTGTGGTGATGGGGGACATGACTCCTGACTAGCTAACTAGGGCGATGGAATGCAGGAGTCCTGTAGTGCTGACAAACAGCTCTCGCAAGCCCGTCGCCACCAGCAGCATTTTTATCTCCTCCGTGTCACGTGTTGGGCGCCTGAATGAACTGCTCAACTCCAGGCTTCACTTCAGTTACTCATCTACTTAACCTCTTTCTACAGTGACACTGGCCAGCTGGATGCAAAGAACACTAAAACAATCGGTGAGGAATAGGTTTTGTTGGTTTAATAGGTGAAAATGAGTAGAGACCCAACATACTTCTATCCCCCAAAGCATCGTTTCATTTGCATCACATTAGATTAGTGCAAGTAAAATACACAAACAAAACCCTCAAATTATCAAATATACTTTTTAAAGGGATACTCCACTTTTTTTTGGAAATAGGCTCATTTTACCACTCCCTCAGAGGTAAAAAGTTGGGTTTTACTTTTTTCGAATGTATTCAGCCGATTTTTTTATATTTAGAAGAAAATCAGTAACGAGACAGTTTCTGGTCTCATTGATTTCCATAGTAGGAAAAAATATACTATGGAAGTCAATGAGACCAGAAACTGTCTGGTTACCGATATTCTTCTAAATATCAGAAAATCGGCTGAATACATTCGAAAACGGTAAAACCCGACTATTTATCTCTGAGGGAGTGGTAAAATGAGCCTATTTCCAAAAAAGTGAAGTATCCCTATAAGTGTTTTCTTCAAGTACTCGACAAAAATGTCCAACTAAGTAGGGTTGTGCAAGACGACATTTTAAAGATTTTCACCTGAGATAGAGAACCAATCACAGAACGGGGAGGGAGCAACAAGATGATGACGACGTATATGCGACACACCGAAGCAGTTTGTTTATATGCAGCGGACGTGAAGTTACATTCTCAATGAATAATCAATGTATTAGCCTGGTCATGGTCATGCAATTATTCGCCTGGGTTTCCCCGTGCTGCCTTGCCGTAGTGCGATTTTATTCATTCTCAATGTATCATACGTCATCTGGTATAACTGAACCGATTGGCTATGAGCTACGTACAGGCGCATTTGATAGATATTCGTAGCACCCAATAATACGGCTCTGGGCATTCGTAAACCATGCCTCAAATACGAGAAAATGAACATGTGGTTTCCAATGATACGTGGTCTGGCATTAGCCAGGCTAGTAAATAACACTAAAAGTTGCAAAGCGCTTATTAGTCAAATAAATATTAACTGAAATTGAAAATAGGAATCACCACAACTTTTTTCCATGACCTCTTAGGATTTTATCAATTCCAATAGCGTTGGAAGTGTTTACTAAGGCTGTTTTTAGCTTCACTAGATGCATTCCTCAGGGGACACTTACATGAGATGTTATGCTCAAAGTGTGCTCAAATGCTCAAAGTGTGCGGTGTTCAGAACAGCACAAATTAACTAAATTAAACAGCTAAAGTACTGCAAAAAAGCATGCTAACTGAAGCAGCCGTTAAAAATATTAAAAGAAAGAGAGTAAGAAAAGAAGTACATTGTTTTCCTTAAAGGAAGCCTCAGCTGAAGATTTCAAAACCATTTTAAACAACATAAATTGTGGAAAAGGAGTTACATGTCGAACATGCACGCTATATTCAAGGCCTGTTTCATGTCTTTACGAGTTGTTGCAAAGGAACTGGTTTCTGTCAAGCAAGACAAGGCTACTCGGTGTGAAAACAAGCAAATCTTACACTTCCCAAAAACACAATCCTCCATATAATATAACTGTGTCCCCATTAATCTAAACTAGTTGCAGCCTACATATCCAACAACAACAAAACAACAACAACATCCCAGGCCTCCATTACCCTCTTGGTGATAAGTTAGAGTCAGGCTCCGGAGGGACGATTTCAGTGGAATATTGTGGCCACAAAAGGTCATTCCTAAGAATAAACGTATTGCAGCAGTTAACGCAATGCAGCGGCCAATGAAAACACAGGGCACAGGTGCTTCCATGTCCATGATGTTACTCAGGATACGATGCTGCCGAATGCCTCTGTAAGACAGAACTGCCAACAGATTCGAGAAGACAGGAATGAGCAGCAGTCTGAAAGAGAGAGATAAGCTTGTCCGAGACGAGAGCTCCGCTAATACGCAAAGATTTATAATCAAGGCCACTTTATCTTTCGCCGAAAACAGGGTTTCATCTAATCTTTCCGGAGGCGAAGTGCTAAATCCCGATTTAGGCTGTTTTGTACACATGTAAAATAACCAATATAAAACATCTTTCTGAAGCCACCTCTTTTTATTCACTCAGAGAGCCAAGACAGGATAATGAAAATAAATAAGCTCACTCCTACACAGTTATATAAAGACACACTATGTCTCATCTTGGAAGCATTCAATAATAATAAAGTAAGTTAATGACATTGCACTTGATGCATAATAGAACAGGGCTTTGTACAAGTACATCTTTTGGTGGAAATGCAAGAGAAAGCCTGAAAAATCCACTCCGAACGAAGAATCTAGAGGAAGCGAGACCCCTGCGGTTTTAATTTTAGAAACCTGTCAAGCATCTTCCTTTTAGGTGACATATCTGAAAATGAAACTAGTCAGGGCATAGGAATGCTCTATTTGAGGCTAAAAGCAATTTCATTTGACTAACATCAGTTGCAAATTGATTGAACACTATGAAGAGTCAGCGACCTTTCACCTTCCACCGACATTTCAAAGTGCAGCCGATGAGTACCTTATAAATGATGCTTTTAATTTATGAATTTAATGCTTCATAATTTCTATTTTTCATTTTAGACATCGCACCTTAGTTCAATTAATTAAAATCATCCCAAGACTTAAAATTTCATGAACGCATGATCATTGAGTTCTCTCTTTCTTTCTGCAATGTATAAAAGCAAACAATTGTTCTGTTCCAAATACACGGTATCAACTTCTTGCTACCATACTTCATTGTAAAATCACTTTTCCGCAACATTTGTTATGTGAAAGTCAAAGTGATAAATTCTTATCTAAGCCTGAATCATGTGTAAAAAGGGATAATTTATCCAAAAAAGAAAACCCACCCTTCTGCAGAACACAAAAGAAGATATTTTGTACATGTTTGTCTATACAAAAGGATACAAAGTTACTTCAAACTATCCTCATCTTGTGTTTTGCAGAATCCTACAGGTTTAGAAGGTGAGTAAACTTTGATGAATGAACTACCTTGTCGACCGTTCTCTGAGATTTGTTTTCATGATAATCGAATGTAAAGAGTCTAATCTCTAAAAACTGTTTAGTGTATAACGCTAGTATATGGGGGCATATAATAAGTAAAAAGAAATCGCTAGTTTATACCACTAACAAGGCTCAAAACATCCACACACTAACACAGTAACATAATGAGGGTCCCTACATGCAAAACAAAGCATTGAGAACTTTGTAAGTGTACAGACCGTATAATAAGAAGATACTTTATAAAGACAGTTCACTTCATGTATACAGACAGGAGCCATCTTTGGAAAACAGTCTCGACAAGTCGAACCACGAACGTCATGCTAAGTGAGCTGAACTGTATGCAGTACAGCGAACTTCTGAACTCTATGAACAGCGTATCTACATTTATTTTGCATTTATGGACCCTCATTATGTTACTGTGTTAGTGTGGGGCTATTTTGAGCCTTGTTAGTGGCATAAACTAGCGATTTCTTTTTACTTGTTATATGCCCCCATATACTAGCATTATATGCTAAACAGTTTTAGAGATAAAACTCTTTACATTCGATTATCATGAAAACAAATCTCAGAGAATGATCGACAAAGTACCAATGTTTTATTAGACCAAAGGTTCATTTTGAGCCGGAGTTCTCCTTTAAGGACATATTAAAGTCTCAAAGTCTTCTGAGATCTAGCAGATCTGCATGTCACGTGTGAATATAGCATGCACATTCACTCTTTCATCTGTCTGCTCCCTCCCCTCAGCCTTGTGTCCACTGGCAACCAGATCACCAATACAACCAGCGCTTCTCGTCCCCAGCTTGGGGTACTCCCGTTCTTCCTTCCTCTCTCCTCCGTCTGCACCTCTCCCCTCTCTCTGCACTAATCAATCCATACCGCCCACCCCGCTTCGGCATGGACAAGGTGCAGCACATCACACGGGCAGCCATTCGCCGGGCGTCCACCATGGAGGTTCCCCAGCAGGCCAAGCAAAACATGCAGGAGCTCTTTGTCAACTTCTGCCTCATCCTCATCTGCCTGCTGCTCATCTACATCATTGTCTTGCTAATGTGAGCGGGAGTTCCCCTGTAGCCAATGAGGGCGAAGGACTGTACATACATAGGGGGCCAATCGCTTTGAGGGGCGGAGGGTGTGTGGATGGGCGTTGGGCGAAGCTATTTATTATTTTATAGCAGGTTTTGATTAGTTGGGTTGTACATTGCATCATTATCAATGGCATTATGAATAGCAAATCCAGACTGACACAAGAACGACAATACTGATAGTGGGTGACCAATATGACTTCTTCAGTGGATGTTGCTGTAACATCTAACACAATTTAATTTAATTCCATTGTGGGCCAAATACTAAGGCAGCATCACATGTATCCTTTTTATTTTCATAATGCATAGTGCCATTGAGAAAAAACAACTCCAAGATGGTGGACGAGGCAAAATTAATAAGACAAATTCAAATATTAAGTATAATTGAACATTTTCATTTTAATACCAAAAAATGGCAATAGAAAATAGTAATATTGCCTTTCAAAAGTTTGGGGTCAGTAATTTTTTTTTTTAATTAATAGTTTAATTCAGCAAGGAGGCATTAAATTGATCGAAATGTTACCAAAAATACATAAATAAATGCTGTTCTTCTAAACATTCTATTCATCAAAAAAAGCAAACCTTGAAATGTAGGGTTAGAAGAAGTAGCACAACTTTTTTCAACATCGATAATAATAAGAAATGTGTTTTGTGGGGAAAATCATTCTGTATTTTTGATCAAACAAACGTGAGTATAAGCAACTTCTTTCAAAAAATCTTACAGCCCCCAAACTTTTAGATGATAGTGTAAGTACTGTATATAACGGCACAATTCATTAGGTAGCATCCAACTTAAAGGAGTAGTTCACTTTTAAAAAAACCTTTTGCTGATAATTTACTCACCCCCATGTCATCCAAGAAATCCATATCATTCTTTCTTCAGTCGAAAAGAAATTAAGGTTTTTGATGAAAACCAGGATTTTTCTCCATAAAATGGACTTTACTGGGAAACAAACTGGGGTTCAATGTCCAAAAGACAGTTTCACTGCAAACTGTTCAAAGAGCTTTAAACGATTCCAGACGATGAATAAGTTTATCAAAATGAACCAATCTTTTTTCATGTCATTTGGTTCATTCAACGAACGAAATTGACTCGGGAAAAGATTCGTTCATTTTGATGAACGAGTTCGAACAGGAGAGTCACGAACGCGCATCACAGAACAGAGCAAGGTGAACACTTGAGCTTATAAAACTTAAACTTTGTTATTTTTTTTTTAAATGATCGATCGTTTCGCTTGATAAGACCCTTATTTATCGTCTGGAATCATTTAAAGCCCTTTGAACAGTTTGCAGTTTGCACTGAAACTGTCTTTTGGACCTTGAACCTTTGGTTCCCATTGAAGTCCATTATATGGAGAAAAATCCTGGAATGTTTTCATCAAAAACCTTAATTTCTTTTCGACTGAAGAAAGAAAAACATGGACATCTTGGATGTCATGGGGGTGAGTAAATTAATTATCAGCAAAAGTTTTTTTTTAAAGTGAACTACTCCTTTAAACAGGATTGGAGCTCCATGCAGTGGTGGATTGAGGAACTGACCAGTCTTCACTATGAACGTATGAAGCATGCAACTGTCTTTCCATGTTGTCACTATCCCATCAGTGCATGTCACCTGCAGGCCTGAGATGTCATCTTCCGTTACACACTATGCCAAACTGAAAAACACTTGCTCAATAAAAAATGACATGATCACGTGTGTGCAATAAAAAGTGTGCTGCTTCTGTTTCTGACTGATACTCCCACTGTACTAATTTTGTTACACAATCAAAATCAGTATTTTAATGATCACGAAGTCACAGAAAGCTTAAATAATACATAAGAAAATGAGTTATTGTCTGTTTCTCTCACTGTGTCCTGTCAGCAAAGCTCATGCCAGTCTGTCGATCATGTTTAGCTCTTTCTACGGCATATGAGAGATGTAAGCTGCTCGTCCTCCTGTTCACTGGCAAACACGAAGATCTTCCACCCGGGGCTGAATACGCTTGGGCAACACGACGCCACGGCTGAACCCGAACAACGCTGGAAATCTCCATCCCGCCAGTATGGATCTGACCAATAACCGAGGACTAAACCTGCTGCTCAACTTCCTGCTTATTATAGTGGCTCTACTGCTCATGCTCATTCTGGTCAAGCTCCTGTGACCTGAAAATGGCCCGAAACAAGACTAATCGGTATAAGAGACTCCCACTCACTCTACCTCCAAAACCATTTTAAAAACGATCTTTTCTAAGTTAGACAAACCTGTGCATGATTGATAGGCAGAAAATGTTTTTTTGATTGGCTAGTTTTCCAAAGTGGGCTGATCCCCCTTTTTTGTCTTTAACACATTTTCAGGACACATATTCATATTTGAATTAGTCAATTAACATTTTTTTTGAGTCTGCCGTTAATTTTCTTTGCTTACAACACCTTTAACCTACAATACACGCTTTGCAACAGCTTAATGGGGGGATAGGCCTACAGTAAATTGATAAAAAAACGGGTTACCAAAGCATCAGTCTCCAGAATCAAAAAAAAGAAGGGAAAAAAAAAATCAAAATAGATGAAAAATACTCCATTTTAGTTTAAATATCCTGAGGCTTTAAAACTGACAGGAAGTATATAGGCTACATTAGGTGCATTGCTTCCTTTCATTATCACTGCGCACTCTAGTGGTTGTTGCCTTTAACTGCGCACAAAAACAACAACGTAACTAGGATTAAAAATGGGATTTATCTCAAAATGAGATTCTTTTTCTGTGAACAGCAGGAGTGGATTTAAGTACACGGCCACATAAATTAAACTGAAAATGTAGTGAAGCTCCTAAATCACATGACACGGCATTGACACTATTCCTAAAAATAGTTATACTGCTATAAAAGCTGTAGATACACACTCCTAATCAGATGTATTTCATAAATAGAAGGACATAGTCATGTTTTTAATGAGAAACACACTGGTTTGCCTATAATATAATCAAAGTTGTAACCTTTATATATTATTTATACCATCACAATCACTGTGTTCTTGTGTTCTCTGTGTGAATATATTTATGAAGTAATGATATACATTTTCATAATGCAAATCTTTGAGAAATAAGACTGAATGGAAGCAAATGCTGCAAATAAAACTGTTCCACTGAAAACAAATGTATTTGGTTTCTCTTTAGGTTGAATAAAACATTTTGAGCCTCAAGCTGAGAAATTCAAAGACTTCCAATTGGAACAAACACTGAGTCTTTACTCTGTACTACTAAAAAAAGACACCCAGCACAGGAGACCATAAACAACCTCAAATCAAAAGTGACCTTAATTTACTTTCTTAATGCACATTCCCGGTCATATTGTGTATATTCAACAGTGCACATGATTTCAATCATTGCCTTGTTCTGTTTCTGAAATGACTTGACTTTTCAGCGGACGCCAGGAATCCCCTCCACTCAAACGACTATCTATATTCTGGTATGCAACATGCAGTTTTCAGAAAAACACCAGATTTTAAAAATTCCCTAGGATTTTAAAGCAATATCTAAAAGTTAATTTAAATTCAAGTGCAATTCAAGTTAATCTCTACTGACAGCATCTGAGGCATGAATTACCACAATAATGCAAAATAATAATTTTGACTCATCCCATTATACTCATTTTAAGTTTTATATTTTATTTTTTTTAATTGATTTTTTATGTTTTATTTTGAAAAATATCTATCTATCTATCTATCTATCTATCTATCTATCTATCTATCTATCTATCTATCTATCTATCTATCTATCTATCTATCTATCTATCTTTACCTTTTTTTTTAATTGACAATGTTAGAAGGGCAAGTAGAAATACATCTGGCCAAACTTTTTTCATTAAATTGGAAATTTTGCCTTGGGAAATAACTAAAATAAAATGTCTAAGTTTATCTAAGTAAATTTTATATTAATTTTAAAATCGAAGTAAAAATAAATTAAAGCAAAAAATTACAAATATTTAATATAATTCATATAATTATTAATAAAAACTATAATAGTATAGAAATAATACTAAAATAACACAATCAATGTCATCTGGAACATCCCTTAAACATGTATTTAAAAAAAAGAAAGAACGTCTGATAAATAAAGTTCTGTAAAGCAGGATAATTCACCTTACCACTGTCTCCACCAGAGGGCGCTATTAACCAACTTTTACAAGGCATTCTTCAATGGTCTCATAAAAAACAATTCAGCATCTGCTTTACAATAGACACAACTAGAGCACCCAGCATATTTTTCTCATCTTCGTATTCCCAGTCAAAAACATTGCAAACTGACCTGTTCTGCTTCCTGGCGTAGTCGCTCTCGCTGTTGCTGTTCCTGTTGCCACGAGCCGCCGCATCCCTCTGGTCCGGGCCGGTACTCCATCTGCTCACTCAGCCACATCTGCGTCCGCACGGCCGGCTGGATGGGCGACCCCCCCACGGCCTGGTGCCTGAGCGTGGGACCTCTCTGCCCGGGCCCGGCCAGGCCGATCGTGGGGGTCTTGCTCTCCGGTAAGGCACTGTAGGAGAGGTCTAACGTGCTGGGCTTGAGCGGAGACGAGCAAGGCGAGTCTGTTTTACCTAGGGTGTTACTGCTGCCCAGGTCATATTTCGTAAAGTCAGAGTTGGTGGAAAGTTTGTGCAGGCTCTCAGAGAGGAAGCCGTCTGAATAAAGAGGGTCCTGTCGGTAGCCATAGAGCACACCTCGATCCAGGGATCCGTGAGGGTCCGTGCGGTACGACGGTCTCCCGGAAGGACTGGTCTTTTCCTGGCCGGTGAGACGGGTGAGGGAGGACCAGCGGCGCACCGGCCGGGGGTCTTTCATGTCCAGGGGGCTGTCGAGGGGAGAGGGGAGCTGGCAGCTGCTCCAGGGGCTTGTGGGGGCAGAGGGAGTGCTGAGTTTGGAGATGGACGGTGATGGCATGACGTGGGCCGTGGGGATGGGACCTTGCGAGCGCAGATGCTGGAAGGACAACGTGCCGCTGGAGCTGGAGTGGTCTGGAGACAGAGAGAAAGAGAGATTAAATCTAGATATTTTTTAAATGTGTTGATTCCACTGCTAGCAACAGAAATTTCGTTTAAATGTCACTGCTTTGCTATCTGTAGGATGACAGATAACCGGCTTGTTATGGATGAAAAAGAGTGACCTGTACTTAATGTGAGACTTAAGTTATTAATTATGCAGTCTTTATTTATTGACCCTTCAGCACAATCCACCTCCCTTGGTGCCGCTCAAACAAGCTTTACAAAACATCCCATAAAACTCACCACAGATTTCCCTGACCAATATAAAACATTTTATTATTGTTATAAATAAATTTTAATTATGACAGGATATAATACTTATTTACTAAAGAAAACAAACAAACAATAGTGTAAGTAGCCCTCAAACCATATTCACTTTATAGCCCTTGATCCTGTAATTGTGGCCAAATGTGGGCACAGAGGACTCAGGTGTGATCCTAATTTTTATTTATTATAAATGTTATATCACTGTCTTCGATAAAGTTTTGTCTATCCATTTATGGTGTTTTTTTGTTTTTTTATTTTTGGGGGTATTTTTGAATTTATTTACTTGAAAAAGTACCGTATTTTCTATTTAAATTATGCTTATTTTTATGTTTTTTTTAATTTATTTTTTTTAACTACATTAAAATATCATTCCAATAAGTTCTTAGAGCTAAAACCTAAAGATGAAGTGAATTTGCTGTCACCTGGTGTCTTATTTTAGAATTTTAGAAAAAATATTTTTTCCCATTCATTTCTAATAGGTTTCCATTTTTGACCCAAATACAAGATTAAGGAGTTTTTTTCACCCACTTAACATTGTAGAATTGAGTCAAAAATAAACTGTGTGTTCAGCAGGCAAACTTAGGAAAAGTAGCCAAGTCTTGTACCGCTCAGATCAAGGCAAGTATTTTTTAAAAATAAATCAAAACTATTTTGCCCACATTTGTCCAGAATACGGTTTTAGGGTAAATAAGTATTAAAAATGATAGGATATTATTTTTGTGTGATGAGTGAAAATGAAAAAAATAAATCAGTGTTTAAAAGGATTCAACATTATTCTTATGTGGAATTAAGAAATAAAAATAAAAGTGTTATAAATAAGAGTTAAAAAAGAGTGATATTATTCTTCTGTGCACTGGACTGAATGGAATGACTAACATTGCAAAGCATTTTTTATTTGCTATTGAAAATAATGATAAATGAATCAATAATGTGGCTTGTTTCTGAATCAGAGACAAATGCAGTCAAATGGAGAGACAAATACTTCTCAGTCAACTGAAGAGTGATTAGACGTGATAACATTAGGGGAAGTGAACCGTTTTTAACGTCCTTGCCCGAAAGGTATTACAGAGAAAAGTTTAGAGTGACACACGCCTCTGATGAAGATCACAGGAAGTGAGGCGTACTAAACATTCTTATTCTTTCCGAGAGACAGCAATGATTGAAAGCAACTGGATGAAGATGACCTAATACTGACCCTGCCCTGAGTCCTCCTATGTCCCATCATGCACTAGGGTTTTCCCCAGATCACATAGCCTCTCTTTAATACTTTAAAAACAGGCCACAAACACTGCAAGGCAACACGTCATGATAAACAGTGACTGAACTCATCTGACTGTGAGTCACTGGAGGAGAATAACACACACACACACACACACACACACACACACACACACACACACACACACACACACACACACTCAAGCTGAACGCATCCTTAAACCTACGCACAGAAGAGAGCCAAACTTCAAACATGGAAAGTAATATATATTGTTGATAAAATAACAAATCTTATTTTAATATTATTTTATAGGTCCAACAATAGTCGCAGTAAAGATTTAACAGTTTATATTAAATAATAAAAAAATTTTAAATATGTCATGGAATGTTGCAATAGATAAAAGTACATTGAAATGTAATAAATAAAAAAATAAATTGTTAAATTTATATATTTGAAAAAAGTCATATGAAATAGCTCTTTTAATATGAAAGAAGAAGTACAAAATAAAATACCTTGAAATAAAATGTAGTGGACACAACATAAAGGAAATCAATATATCATGAAACGTTGTGGTTGCAATCAATAAATAAGCATAATGAAAAGCCAGTACAAATAAACAAACATGGCAAGACATGTATTTATGCATTTATTAAATATTTTATTTATTTATTACAACATTCCATGAAGTATTTAATAATTTCGACATATATTCATTTAATTGAGTTAGTCCTTTAAATCCCAGTGATGGTCAACATGACAGCATACATTAAAAATCTACACTGGTTTGTCAACTGGTTTATCTTTTATAATCTGAATATTATGTTCAAAAGAAAAAAAGGATAACTTAAAAAAATGTAATGCTTCAGAACTACAAAAAAAGGACATCCAATTTATTTTTTTCAGTTGGTGTGTTAGTCACAGAGATGGGACCAAGTCACACATGTGCAAGTCTCAAGTAAGTCTCAAGTCTTAACCGTCAAGTCTCAAGTAAGTCCCAAGTATTTTTTGGGGGGGCAAGTCAAGTCAAGTCAAGTCACAGGCTATGTCAAGTCAAGTCAAGTCAAGTCACAGGCTATGTCAAGTCAAGTCAAGTCAAGTCACAGGCTATGTCAAGTCAAGTCAAGTCAAGTCTTGTAGTAGGTTAAGTCAAGTGCAAGTCAAGTCACCTTATTATTGTAATTTTACATGCAGAATCTGATCTTAATAAAGTGAAAAGACAAGATAAGTATTTGCCAGTAAATTACAATAATTTGGATTTGCATTGTAAATACTCATGTTCAGTAAAATACATAATGGAATCAAACTAAATTTTAACTTCATAAAATTATTTATTTTTCACTTCTGCCAACAGTGTTTGAAATGTTTTAAATTTTCAGCAATTTGAAATGTTTTAAATGTATCAGCAATGGCGGGGTAACATCACTTCTGTTGATGTTCAAACAAAACAGAGAGCTAGCTGGCTACTCCCTCCCATGCAATTGAAACTCTTCTAAACGTGCATCTATGGGTATCAGTTTGGTTTGAAATGGACAGAGGCGCATTCAGAAGTGTATTTGGGTACAATGACGCATTCATTTACTAGCTTACTGATTTAAAGAAATAAAAATGTATACAAAAATGAGATGATG